TGATAGCAGTCACAGTTCAAAGCTGATTGCGTTATGGTCTGATGTTGTGACTCCTTCGTCTACTCTCCACGATGTTAACCTATCCAGGAGGGAGCGGCTACAAGCCGTCACGTCGACGTGGCTGGCGTACTCTTTTCCGTTCCTGATGGTGTGGAACGTAGGTGTTTTTCCCTGGTTTAGCACTTCGAGACTCATGGCGCTCAGGAATGCGCTGTACTGACGGCCTCGTTCGTTCTCCTAGGTGCTGCCCCACCAGTGGCTCCACGCATTTGCGTCTCCCGCCACTATGAGGTCCGTCGTATTTAGTTTCTCGCAGGCGTATTCGATTCTGTGCAGATATGGTTGAATGTCGTTGGCCCCGTCTAGGTATATTGAGATTAATCCTATTTTGAGGTTACCATTTACGATCTTTGCCGCTGCTTCCGTTTTTGTAACAATCTGTGGGTCGTGGATGATTTCTAGTTTGTCGTCTAGCACTATGATCGCGGCTTTAGTTGGACCTGAGTTTGGTTTTGTACACTGTATGATCCTGGTCCCGGGGTGTTGCTTTAAGAGCCCTGTGTTACCTGTATAAGGTTCTTGCACAAAGGCAATTGATATACCCCTATTTTTGGCCTCTCTGATGAGGTCTAGGGTAGCCAGTTTGGATCTTTGCAAATTCGCTTGGTAGAATTTTAGGGCGTTTTTTGGGGCCAACGTGTTGTCGGTTAGTTGTGGTGTGTGGTTGTGTAGTCAGGTGCCCTTAGCAGTATGTGACCTTCGAGCGGGCTATGGCATCCCATTTTGCCCTCTCTCTACATTCAGTGCTAAAGGCCGTGTGTGTCGTGTCTTTATGTTTTTGTTGTAGGCAGTTTGTGCAGGATGGTTCTTCTCCCTTTCTTCGTTCTTCACAGTTTTCCCATTTGTGTGGACCGGCGCAGTAACTACAGGTGCTAGTCTCCGCTTGGCACAGTGAGAGGGTGTGGCCATATCCGAGGCATTTGGTGCATTGCACCAGTGGAGACTGATCATATACAGGTCTTCGTTGTAGACCGATGTATAGTATCCCCGCTTCGACCAGTATCTTGTGTACTTTTAGCTTTGAGATTTATTGTTGTGATCTTTCTTTGTCTCCCACTTTGTTTGATTTTTCGTTTCTGCGGCAGATTTCACTTTCTCATTGTGGGTATGTAGAACCTTAGCGTATGTTGTAGGTCGGGATTTTGAATCTCCATTATATTCAGGGATAGGGTTCAGTGCAATTTTCGGCTTTCGTAGAGGTGGTGCCACTTTTCTTGAGAGGATTTCACGGTATACCTCACAGCCTTTATAATTAGCTGGATGGGCGCCGAAACACAATGCGCATTTAGCCGGAGTGTGTCTTTCTTGGTGCAGTCTGACGTTTTATGTTGTTGAGCGCATTTAACACAGCGGTGTGGCCTCATGCAATTGTTTTTCGAATGACCATACTGCTGACATCTTTGGCATTGGACAATCGTTTTTTTCTTTTTCGGATCTTCTATGACAACTGCCTGGTGGTAAACATATTTAATTCTTTGACGGCCTTGTTATTAGGTCCTGGTAAGAGATTAACAAAGAATGTTGACGTGGGTTTTTTTTCCGGGCCATATCGAGCATTAATGATCTCTCCCGCTACCGAGTTCCCTGTACTTTCAATTGCTTCTACTATTGCATTTGTGGGAGTTGAATGGTGGAGATTTTGAATCACTATTCTGTAGTTCCTCTGATCTTTTCTGGTAAAGGTTTATTAGGAGTTGGAATATTTGTTGGAATCTCAGATTTCAGAACATAGTTCTGTTATCTGAGGTTGGAATTATTTCGTTCCTTTCGTCTTTCGTTTACCTACGTACGTACTGGCAGTTTGATCCAATGATGTTAGGTAACCTACGTAAGCTCTCTTCTGTACTTGTAATTTAGTTGTTGTAGTAGTAGTGTAGTACTTTATTAGTTGTGCCTGTAAGTGAATAAAAAGGCAGGACAGGGCAGGCAGGCGAGCGCATATTCATTGTTAGCCTAGGGCGGTCAGATCTCTAAATCAGACACTGCTGGCAGAAGTAGATAAGAGGAAAAAGAGTAAAGAGAAGAAAAGGAAAATGAGTACTACATAGTGTGTTTGTTGAATGTTTATTAATCATCAATATTGCTCCATGGTTTAGTTAGAGCATGAAGGTCCCTCTATCCATGCCTTCATGGGTAAGAGTAATGTAATAAGTAATGGTCTTTTCCACTGTACAACATAGGTATATGTGTTTTCACGCATCTGCGTATACAAATAAAAATGTACAAACAAACGCATTTAGTATTTATTTAAAGTATGATAAAGACTTTACGTTTTACGTAAAGGTCACACCAAAGATTTATGAATTAATAATTTCATGTAGATGCCATCTATCGTTCTCCATCAACAATACAAGCTACATTTGCTAGAGAAGTGCTATCAAAGAATATTATTAAAAAAAACAATGTAATATTGCAATGTGCTGTATATTTACCACATTTTCAGGGTATATATTGCGGGTGCGCGGTCATTCGGAGACGGGTGCCGCGACCACACCCGCCCTCTCGGCACGCACTAGGGGGACAGCGGTTCTCATAGTGCGTGTCGGGTGACGGGTAGGAGTATTTTCTGGTTTTTAGTGGCCTTGCTAAGGGCGTAGGTAGGGCCCTGTTCACTTCAGCGAGCTCCAGGGCTGGCTGAAGGGGACAGGGAGGAGTCCCACAGACCTTCTTCTCGCTCCCCCAGTGGTTGAAGGATGCGTAAGGCATTTCCCAGTCACAAAAAGGGTATATATTGTTAAGTATGAGCAACAATTTAATTTGCCACGAACTTAAATTAAATCAAAAAGAGAAGATACGGAACTCCCTTTCAATCTTAGAATAATAATTGTTATTGTAAGCACTCAATAGTGGGCCGCTTATATATAGGTATGCACACAATTTCACTTGAGTACGCTTAAGTCATGTCATGCCGGCACTTCACTTGGCTATTCGTGTTTGCTATTTGTAAATTTGATAGAAGTCTGTCCTATTTATTTCTTATAAAGCATGATAAAGACAACCTGCTCTCAATTTAACAAATAGCAAACTTAAATAGCCAAGGTGAAGTGCCGGCATCACAATTTGACAAGCAAACAAGCACTGAAAAAAATGGATATTCTGTATTAAAAATATAAAACAATGGCTTCGATGCGTTTAAAAAATCGGCCATGTGCGAGTCGGACTCGCGCATGAAGGGTTTGTGTCATTATTTATACAATATTAGACACTGTATTATACTAACGAGAATAAAGGGAAAAAAACACGTCTGTTAGCCCCTTAGACATTTATTTTATTTTAATAACTATAAACTTCTTATAGGTTTTACTGTAATCTACAAGGAAAGATCTACAAAATTAAGGATATGAGGACAGGTCAATTGTCATTTATTTTCTTAAATAATTGCTTAACTGTTGATTTTAAATTTGTAGAATAACTAGTTTATAAACATAAATATTTGTACGTATGGATCAGGGGATTCATTCTTTTCTCCATACAACTCTGCCCAATTTTGTACCTTAAGTATTATCATGCATTTATGTGTAAAAAAATACGTCGAATTCATTAAAAATATAAATGGTATTTATCATCCATGCGTACCACATAAAAATGTCGTTCAAATATTAAAATTATTGGCAACACCGATACTACATTAAATTAATTATAAATATTGTAGTCAGAGTAACAAATGTGCATCTCGACAATTAGCTGGAGAAATTTATGTACATTTATTATGCATTCATATAAATTGTGATTGTTACGGGTAATGGAGCCGAGAGATCCTGCTGGGATATCATCACGTTATGATTGCGATATTGTTGGATCAGGTAGGTTGCACTTGACCTCCTCTCTAGACCACCTGTCGTAGTTTTATTTCCGAAGTTTATCAAATAGTATTAAAAACATTATTTGATAAACAGAAATCCTAGCGTTCACTCGTGCTCTGTTTACGCTCACCGTTCGACCGACAAACGTCTATCAAATAGCAATACGCTATTGTTGTTATTGAATGCTGGAACATGCTAAAGGACATTCTGCAATAGAGCCTGGAGTTGATGCTTTGTATGACCTCGTATGTCCTTTCAACTTGGTCGATGTAACCATTCATATCGACATTTTGACTGTAAAGTTCCTCTACCAGAATGGAGCTCGTATGCGATCCTAAATCATATAATCTCATTGACAGTGCAATTAAACTTTGGTCGTTTCGTTACATTAACCTAATAATAAGTAAATTATGAAAGTCTGGTTTTGGTTAACGTAATCGACATTTTTTTCAAGATATCTAAATTTTAATTAATGTTATCGATAGAACATCAAATTTGCAGACGAACTATATATATAACTCAATTTCGTAATATTGGCGGTTACATTTATTGATATAACAGATGTCGATATGTTTTTAATTTTAATGTCAGCTTTCAATCTATCAATTTCTTTGTATGAAATAAAACTAGAAGAAGAAAGCAGCCCTTGCTGAGATTCTTGCCGGTTCTTCTCAGTACTAGGTCTCCCTACTATTTGTGAACCAATGGCATAGATTTTAACTTTTAAGCGAGTTACAAGTCTTAACTGAATAAACGAATTTTGAAAAGTGAGAAATGCAACAATCACAATTTATGCTCACAAGATGACACCATAAGAGCACATTAATCAAGGCTTGATTTTATGTAATTACAATACTAAAATTTTACTTTATTACAGACTAGTTGACCCGGCGAACTTCATACCATTTACAATAATTTGTAGGAAATAAAAGCTAAAATTTAAGTACGCTATAATCTGAGTAATGTGAATATATGTTGTCAATTCAAAAACCTAAAACAAGGGTCTCTTTAATAGGTATTCAAATGGAAACTCAGGCAATTACTTTTTTCCTTATTTCTTATACTTGAAAAAGGGTAATTCTGAAATCGTATATGGTAACACAAATAATTTCTGTTTATGAAATAATGGAAACGTCACTTTAATTTTCCATGAATGTGTAAAATTCAACAAACCAGTGTTTGTGCTTTGTTATGAGTTTATAATAATCGTGCGTTTTACATAGTTAGTAATTAAGTAAAATGGCAGATTTTGATGCTATATACCCCGACGAGACTGAGAGTGAGGAGAATATAGAGGAAACACATGTGACGTTAGTGCCTGATCCCATTGTCGTCCGTGGAGCTGGTAACATGACAGTGTAAGGTTTCATTTGGACGTAGTTACGCGAAAACGTTCCAACCCACAAGTCACTCGAAAATGAGTTACCATAACCAGGGTACTATTTTTGACATATTACATCATGTGCACACAAAGATGCTAGTATTTTTAGGTTAGTTTCATCAATAAAGTTTAACCCAAATGTTCCAACCCACCATTATGCCAAGGACGTGTACTCAAAATAAAGTAAAAACATTACATGCATACTGAAACATATTGTTAAAAACTCTTAATAGAATAACATATCGTTATAATGTTCCACTTGTCTTGGAACATTATACTAAATTCATAAAACGCACATTTAATGGTTTCTTAAATGATCCATGTGGGTTGGAACGTTTTTGCAAAATCTTTATACATTTTTTATTTCTGCAAAAATGTTCCATGTAATTTGAAACCTTTTAGATTAATCCATACTGTTTTTTTAAGCTGCGAACACTGTTCTAAATAAATTGAAACCTTTTATTATAATATATTATTTTCTAATTTTTTGCTATAAACAATCCACATATACTTGATCCATTTTTGCTATTAAGTATGTTCTAGAGAAAAAGATATTTTTTACCAAAATAAATAACTATGGTATATTTGGACGTAGTAACGAGAAAATGATCCAACCCACAGCAACCCCAATTTGAGATAAACGCAATTTACACACTTTTTCCCTGTAATTATTTCAGGCAAATACTATTGGTTTAACTATGGAATGCCAAACTGATTATTGAATGATATGCATATTTTTTGTAAATACATAATACAAGGGGCATATAAATAGGTAAAACGAGTTTGAAATGTTTTTGCTAAATTAATTTTGTATGAACCTTGTTAAATAGCAATTATGCATAAACTTTCCAAAACGAATTTAAGTGTATTATTTTATAAAAATAAACCAAAAAGAAATATGTAAAATAATAAATAACAATGAGGAACATACAAAAACAACAAAAAAAATATTTGAAAATGTATTACAAAAAATAGAACGTGATCTTTTGAGTTTAGAACCTATGCCAAAAATTTGCTGATATGGTTCCAAAAGTTATCAAAAACTTATATTATAAACATTCAATTTTCATCATCGTATTCTATGATCTCGAAGTCCGGAACTCCACCAAACCCATCAACATCATCAGTGCTTCTTCAGAACTTTGAAGCGTTCTATAAAATTGAAGGCAATCCTCGGGTATGTAGTGGTACATGGATTGTAAGTCCACTAATTTCGCTGGAGCAATCGGTTTGTCGTTAGGCCACAATAAGCAAAAATCAGATTCTTTTATGTATTGTAGTTCTCGTTTTATTCTTTTATCAATTTTCAACTCATTGAAATCGTCTTCCATCGTAGACCGCATAAAAATAGAAAAAATTATATCTTTATCCAACTTAATTTCTTTTGTATGTAGCCAACTCACTTTAGATGAGTCTGTAAACTTCTTCCTATTGATAATCTTCTTTTCCAGTTTAGTTGTACTATAAAATCAGTCTTTGTCATTTTGTAAACTTGAAGAGGTTTAACTTTTTTACTTAGTTCTACAATAGTGGTATCCATAGTGCATCTAATGATACTGGGCATTGTTATGTATTGGTAGAAGGAGAGGTAGGAAGAGGTGCACAGGAAGTGGATTGCCTTCTGTTCTGAAGAAGCACTGATGATGTTGATGGGTTTGGTGGAGTTCCGGACTTCGAGATCATAGAATACGATGATGAAAATTGAATGTTTATAATATAAGTTTTTGATAACTTTTGGAACCATATCAGCAAATTGGCATAGGTTCAAAGCTCAAAAGATCACGTTCTATTTTTTTTGTAATACATTTTCAAATTTTTGTTGTTTTTGTATGTTCCTCATTGTTATTTATTATTTTACATATTTATTTTAGATATATTTATAAAATAATACACTTAAATTCGTTCTGGAACGTTTATGCATAATTGCTATTTAACAAGGTTCATACAAAATTAAATTTAGCGAAAACGTTTCAAACTCGTTTTACCTATTTATATGCCCCTTGTATTATGTATTTACAAAAAATATGCATATCATTCAATAACCAATTTGGCATTCCACAGTAACACCAATAGTATTTGCCTGAAATAATTACAGGGAAAAAGTGTACCGCTAAAACACAAAATTGCGTTTATCTCAAAATGGGGTCACTGTGGGTTGGAACGTTTTCGCGTAACTACGTCCATTTATCGTTTGCCCTATTAAAATCAGCTGTTCAATGCAAACCGATCAATCTACCAATTACTAACAGTTGCGATCATTATAAAGTACGCGGGGGGCAAGAATCTATTCTCGGTTCTTTGTCGTCTACGTTCAATGGCATTGGGGTGATTTCTTTAGATGGATATTGACCTGGCGCCAATATCAATTTCCATCTCGTGAATTAAATTTCTTATTCCACTTTAAAATAAAATATATAATTATTATGTTGTTACTCTATTGTTTCTTGCAACTGGTAACCTTTGCTCAACACAAGTGCTTCAACTAGGTATCAGAACAAAAATAATATAAATTTAACATTTACATTGAAAAATTAACAATTTTTTTATACACAGGTATATATTTATTTCTTTCATCATAATGTTTAGATAGGTGATGGGCCTCATTCTGGCATGATTCTCTAACTAAACTTAAAACTAAATTTGACAGCAGTCTCTACTATTTAATTCAGTAGTAGTAGGTACCCAGCACTTTGTCAGTGTGGATAATTTGCTTTCCCATACAAACTTCCACCCCCAATTTCACCCCCACAAAGGATGATTTCTAGTATAAAAACTATCCTGTCCTTTCTGGGACTGAGACTTAAACTATCTCTACACCAAATTTCATTTAATCAGTTCAGTGGTTTAAGCTTGAAAGGTAACAGACAGACAGACACATCCTTCCCATTTATAATATTAGTATGTCATGCTATATCCCATGACAAGGATACACTGTTTGTCAAATTTAATTTTAGGTTTGAGAGTCATGCTACAATTGTGTCCATTGTACAATGTTATGAAATTATAAGGAATAACTTGATATGTAAAGCTAAATAAGATATTTTAATTATTATCATTCATCTAAAATATTAAATTAAATGAGCTTTAAAGTCCAACAGGTACATAGCTTTAATCATAATCATCATCAACCCATGCTCGTCCACTGCTGGACATAGGTCTCCCCTAATGCAGGCCACTGCTTCTGATTTTCTGCCACTCTCATCCAGTCTTTATATGTATATAGCTTTGCATCTATTTAAATCTCAAGAAATAAATAGAAAAATCTGTAACTACAATAATTTGTCATCTTAGCAAGATATTCTATTATTATTCTGAGTGGTAGGGTCAGTTCGCCTGTTCGCCTCCATCGCCCAATTCGGGTCCATTTTACTGATGTCCCTTAAAAAATCCTCAAAAATAAGTAAACTAACACACCAATCGAACGAAAAGTAATTACCGCTAATACCTCAATGTATAAGAGGCACGAACACATGGACAAAAGGTAGGTGCGCCAAACAATCCCGTCTAAAAAAAAATAGTTTGTCTCGATTATTCATCAAGGGAGAGCGTACACGCTGGATTTTTAGATAAAAAATAGTGTGCAGCGGCGCGTTCGATGGTAAGTTTATTACCTTTTTATGTAAATTATAGGATACATAACTGTTTCTAGACTTTTATAGTGAAGAAAGGAATAATTTTAATTATAAATTTTCTTATGTTTTTTATATTTAATGAATAAAATAAGGTGGACGCAAATTACTACATCGAAATTACAAAACTTCCAATTTGCGTCCGCAATGGACGCAAACTATACCTACAGGGGATAATAATAAACCAAATTGCGTCCACTGTTTTCGTTAAATACAATTAATTAATTATAATTTAAAATATAGGTATTGATTATTATTATTATATATTTTTATTAAGACTACGTGTTTATAATACTATTTTTAAATGAAATGAGTTATTTCAATCAATCAATCACATACTTTATTTGTTTCATTCTTATTTTTTTTCTATTTGAGATGAGTTCTTCGGAGACAAGAAAGTAGAAGGAAAAGAGAATATACACAGAAGACGATTTAAAGACAGCGTTATATGAAATTCGGGAAAATAATAAATCGGTAAGACACATATGCAAAGAATATGCTATTCCCAAGACAACAATATTATACAAAATCAGTAGGCACAGACCAAATGAAGTAGAAGAACCGGGACCAGACACCACCTGATGCTACCCGAAATTTCTAACAAGGCACGAAAAGATAATAAAAGAACTCTAGCAACCATATCTTCTGCTGCATGGAATAAGTATTATGAAGATAAAGAGCAGATCAAGAACGAAAAGCAGGAAGCAATACAAAAAGAAAGTAAGAACGAATAGACAAACAACAACAGAAAAAGAGTTTAAAACACTCAAACGCTTCGTAAAACTGCTCCAAAACGAAAGAAGAAGATACATGCTCTTCAAGAAGTCACCCAGGAAATGGTAAATCAGGAATTTAAAAAAGAAAATTTACTGAATGTGACGATATACCAATTTCAGGTGTAGAAGACGACGATGAGAAAAACATAGGCTGTGTGAAGAGTATTAGATGGTATCATCTGAAATGCACGCGATTTGTAGGATTAAGTTATTAAGAGGCCAAATATATGTCTTTTGAAAAATTCTTCTAGTTGTATGATTAGACAAAATTATTGTATTGTTTTATTGCTTTAATATAGCTCAAAACTTATTGTTAATAATGGTTGATTTTTAGACATAATAATATACCTTGTGATTTTAGGGTAAAATTAACAGAACTGATTACTGTTTATTCTTAAAGGTGCAGTCATTATTTACCTACTACTTATATAATTTTAAATTCAATCAATGTTGAGAAGAATATTTTTTATTTTATTAAAGTGATAATTTTAATGATAATAATGTTGGTTTTAATATTTATATTCTAAAATAAATAAATTGTTAAAATAGGTACAATCTTTCTTTAAAAATAT